ATCTGTGCCTGTATTGCGTGCATGCGTGTGCGTGTCCGTGCACACATCTGTGCCTGTATCGCATGCATGCGTTGCGTGTGCACGCGTGTCTGCCTATACTGTGTGTAGGTGCTTCGTGCACGTTCCCCACACCCGAGACCCAAGCCGTGCCAGCAGCACCCCAGCAAGGGTGGACGCAGAGGCCCTCACCTGGGATGGAGAGGTGGTGGAGGGGCACGTCCCGGAGCAGGGGGCACAGCGCTGACATCCAGTCTGTATTTGCGGTGCACAGCAGGCTCTGGACGCTGCCACCAGTGCTCGTCTGTCCGCCCATCGGAGGCCACCTTGTGCGAGCTGAGGAAGGAAATGAAGTTTTGCAGAGGTCAACCAAGGGGGTTGCTTTCCCGGGGGGGGGGGCAGGGCCTGCAGTGCATGCCCTGCCTCCAGGGGAGCCCCCTGCTTGATCATGCGCTAATCTCCCCACCGCACCTCCGGACAGTGGGAAGGGGCTCACGTGCCAGCTTGCAGAGTCTGCGGCTACAGGGCTTCCATCCTGGAGGTGCCGGTGTCTTGAGGGCCCAGGTGAGCACCCCCTCGCCCCGTTGCCCTCTGCCCCTGTTGGGGTAGGGCTCTGGTGCAAGGAATCCGAGAAAGGTTCCTGCCGAAGCCCACGCACTCCCTTACAAGCACCAGGGCGATGCCCGGGGCTAGGGGATGCTAGGGGGGTCTCGTGGGTCCTTAACCTACGGCCAGCGCCGCTGCCTTTCAAACACCTGCCCGCTATGTGCCCCACGCACACTCTCACGCTAAGCAGACAGGTGGGCGTGTGTCACCAAGTGCACGGGGAAGGGAGCCCCAGAGACGTGGCCACAGTGGTCCGTGGACCAGCGGGCAAGACCTCGCCCCTGGTGCCTCTGATGCTAAAGCCACATGGACCCATCCACCACAGCCTGGCCTCCTGACCTGCCACCTCCACCCAAAGGGACACCATCGGGGACTGAGCCGTGCCCCCGAGCCCCGAGGTGACACGTCCTGGTTTCCCTGCAGGAGCCTGTCCTGGGCTGAGCTGTGTCCCTGCCACCAGATTCCCACGTGGCAGCCCTCGTGTCATCTCCCTGGGTCGTAGGATGGGTTCTGAGCAGAAGCACGTGAGGCAGGAGACCCGGGCCCACGGTGACCACGCAGCGTGTCGGCCCCCACGCAGGCATTCCCGACCCACCCTCTGCGAGGGACGAGTTCCCTCTAGTCTGGATGTGGCCCTTTCTCTGGCACGGCCTCCCGCTGTTGGAGTGGTAGGGGGTCAGAATCTGCCTCCCTGAAAAGGTCCGCTTTGCCATAGGATTATTTTGATCTAAAGGAGATTGAGAAAAAGCAGAAACAAGAAAAACTCTCTGCCCTCCTCCTCTCTGCCTGAAAGCAGGCATAAATTTTCCTTTGTGAAGCCGTCCCCGCTCCGTCCCCTGTACCAGCAGAGGTAGGAATATTCTCACTGGGGAAGTCTGCATAACAAGCCTCAGTAAGTAACACTTACCTCCCATTAGTTTCCTCCAAACGTTTACCTTCTCACAATTTACTGTCCCTATGACCCCACCCCCCTCTTCCTCTGGCTTGTCACTTCTCCACAAATGTATCACCTCTTGTTGAAATGGCAGGTAAGCCCATAAGTCTAACTCTCTCTTTGAATCCACTTCTCTTCTGTGAAGGCTTCTGCACACATACAGAATTAACCTTTTCTCCTGTCCATCTGTCTTTTGTCATTTTATTTTATTTCATTTATTTTATTATTTTATTTTATTTATCTTTTAGGTAAGCTCTATGCCCGACATGGGGCTCGAACTCTCAACCCTGAGATCAAGAGTTGCATGCTCCACCCACTGAGCCAGCCAGGCACTCCTGTCTTTTGTCATTTTAATTTGCAGGTCCCAGTACAGAACCTCAGAGTGTAGAAAAAACGTCTTCCTGGTCTACACTGTGTCTAGTATGCCAGAAGCCAACACCATTGGTTCTCATTCTGTCTCAGCAGCAACAAAGACCAGTCCTCTCCCCCGTCCATAAGAGGGTCCTTGAGATACTCTACGAGCACCTGGGCCACCCATCTTCATTCATGGCCCGTCCCAGGGCTCTCTCAGCTCACACTCGGTGTCAACGGTGTCCCTACAGGAGTGAGTGTGGGATCCCAGACCTCCTGGGGGGCTGACGTTCATGCAGCAAGTGTCCAGGCGGTCAGGGGCTGGACTGTGCCATGCCACACACACACAGGAACCATTCCTTGAGGTGCCATCCAGGTACAGATGGACCACTGCCTGCCCTGCGCCCACACAGGTGTCTGGAATGCAGGCGGATGAGGAATTGCGTAACCCCATCCTCAGGACTCCCATAGTGTGTGTCGGTGGACCGCATTGGGGAGTGCGGTAGGGCCTGACTAGGACACACAGCCTCGGCATCCTTGTTAGGAGAACAGGGGCTGGGGCCATGCTTCTCCCAGCTGCCGCCCCAGGGGCCTCTTCACACCCAACTGAAGAAGTGACTGGAGCCCAGTCCCACCCCAGTGGCCCCGGACAGGAGGCTCTGGTGAATCCTGGGATCTCCCCGGAACTCATCATTTTGTTTCCAAGGAAAACGACTCTCTGAGCTTCAAATGAAGGGGGACAGAACATGCCCCCCAAAATGTGCCCTTTGGACATTAGGGTTCTTCCCAGCAGAAGGTCAGCGAGGAGCACCAGACACAAAGAAACTCCAGAACAAGGCACAGGTTACCCTGCATAAAGGCTGTTTCCAAGCAGATGGGAAGGTCCACCTGCAGAGGCATCTCTGTCCCCGCACCTGGGAGAGGTCCTGGGTGCACCTGCACCCCCAAGCTGTCCCCACCTCAGCTAGACCCTTCCTCAGCTGGACCGCCCCCACCCTCTGGATTGGAGCAAGGCAGGGCTTAGGCAAGTCCTGGGGGTGGGGATTGCACAAAACCGGGATGAGAGCGGGTTCACAGACGCCCACGACCCAGCCATGTGAGATACGGGAGCCTCCCACCTGTGAGTGTGCAGGGAGGCTGCTCCGTCCCCACGTGGCACATCTCATCCGCGGGTGGTGACGGCGACACAGTGACGCTCAGGAAATAGCTCTTAGGTGAATAAACAGGCGGACACGCGGCCGGCAGACCCACCTGACATTCCGCCCTCCTCCTCACCTGGCTCCCCACCGCTCCCTGACCTGCCTGTCCGGAGGCCCTGCCCCAGCACCTAAGGACCCGCCATGACCCCCGGGCCAACAAGTCTTTCACCTGCCCGGCTGCAAGGTCGGTGCCCAGGGAACCCGCCAGCATCAGGATCCCGGGGCCACAGCCTGCGGGGTCCGGGCTCAGCTCTGACCCCAGCCAGTTCCCACCCTCCGCGCCGGCAGGGACACCAAGGCTGGAGTGGACACTCTGGCGGCCCTTCCTGCTGCCCCTCCAGCCGGGTCGGGAGGAATGAGCAGCCTCAGCGCGCGACCCGGCCCCGACCCCGCCCGCACCTCAGGCTGGGACCACCCGCCAGCCCGCTGGCCCCGCACCGGACCCCCTGCACTCAGCCGGGAGGCACTCACCGCCTGCTGCAGTCTCTCCAGCAGCGTTTCCAGCAGAGCCTCCCTCCGTTCTCCTGCCCCGGACGCTCAAGCACGTCCTAAAATGCTCTCTGCCTTGCCATTGGACGCCGGGAACACCACCCCCAAGAGGAGGAGGATCCGCCCCCTGGACACTCATTTCCTGCTGTGCGGGGCGGCAGCCTGTAACCCGGAAGCCCAGAGCAGGACCCACCAAGCCCAGAGCTGGACCCCCCCCAAGCCCAGAGCAGGACCCCCAAGTCCAGAGCAGGATCCGCAAGCCCAGAGCAGGACCCAAAGCCCGGAGCAGGGCCCCCAAGTCCAGAGCAGAGCCCCCAAGTGCAGAGCAGGACCCCCAAGTCCAGAGCAGGATCCGCAAGCCCAGAGCAGGACCCAAAGCCCGGAGCAGGGCCCCCAAGTCCAGAGCAGAGCCCCCAAGTGCAGAGCAGGACCCCCTATGTGGACAGCAGTGCCCCAGGGTCCACAGGTATTCACAACCCCAGGCTTCAGGGACCTGACTCTCACAGGGGATGGGAGGGCATCCTGAGCGGACTGCGGGGCCAGCAGTCAGGGGACAGGAGGACATCGTGAGACCCTGACCGTGCTCTGGATGTGGTCTCTCCTGTCACTCTGGACAGGAGACGGGGATGGGAGGACATCCTGAGTGTGACCACGAGGTCAGCAGTCAGAGACAGGAGGATGTCCCAAGAGCCTGACCGTGCTCTGGCTGTGGTCTGGACCCCAGGGCCAGAGCAAACAAGAGTTTCATCAGAGCTCCAATTGCCTCATACCCCTTGGTGCCGGCGCCTGTGATCTCTGAGCATACTGGTTGGCAAAGTGACCGTGTCCTTTGCTGAAGTGTCCGGCCCTCTGGCCTGAGTGGCCCTTGTCCCAGCCCTGACCAGGGCTTGTGGCCTCCATGGGTGGGGGCGGATTCCCCAGGGCACATCCACACCCGCAGACCCGCCCACCCCATGCTGACCCCAGGTGACTGGGAGCCCAGCAGGCGGGACCCTGGTCCTCCCCTCTCCCTGTTTCCTCCTGTGCATGGAGCCCTCAGCAAATGTGCCTCATGCAAGTGTCTGCCTGAGACCAGCAGGGACCCAGAGGGGATATAGGACACGTGTGGGGCAGCTCAGAGGGATGGCTGGGTCTTGGGTGTGGGTGGAACCTTCCACGGTGGCCTCCCTCCACCCTGCTCAGGCACCCTCCACTCTGCAGTCCCCATGGCTGTCTCATGGGGACACCGGGTCAGCGGTCAGCAGCGCTCGCAGCCCACTCGCTTCTCTTCCTTACCCTCCTCTTCCCCTCCTCTCTCCCCCTCTCTCCTCTCCTCTCCCCTCCCCCTCCTCTTTCCCCTCCTCTCTCCCCACCCCTCCTCTCTCCCCTTCTCCTCCCCTCCTCTGTCCCCTCTTCCTCTCTCTTCCTCCCCTTTCCCCTCCCCTTTTCCTCCCCCTCGTCCTCCTGCCTCCTTCCTCTCCCTTCCTCCCTCCTTTGAGACCCAGCTCCCTGCCCACAGCCCCCTCACTGGCCCCGTCCCCCCTCCACAGCCCAGGGTCCCACATAGAGCCTGTGAAATGAGGCTCTGAGCTCCGGGGGGCCTTGACAGTTACCACACCTGGGTCTCCCCACTGCCTGCAGAACAGACCCTCCCCTCCGGGCGGGTTTCCCAACAGCCGGCCTCCACTCCCCTTCTGGCCTCGGGTGGGCAGCACAAGGGCTCCAAAGTTGTGCAAATCTCCAGAACCTGTGAGTGTCAGGCTCCACGGCAGACAGGCCTGGAGGTTGCTGCACAGCCGAGCTCAAAGCAGGGGACTGCCCTGCTTTACCCAGGTGGGCGTGCAATCCCAGGGGCTGTGATGGGGACGTCGGAGGAAGGGCCATGAGCCAAGGGATGCGGGGCTTCTGGAGCTGGACAGGCTGGGGAGCCCGCAGGAACCTGCCGTGCCCACACGCCAATGAGCCCAGGGACACCCACGTCAGTCAGACTTGCAGCCTCCTCGGGGAGTGTCGGAGAATGGGCATGGGCTGCTTGTGGAAACAGCTAACCCACCCGCACCCTCCACCTCCTTCCTCCAGGCCCTGCTCAGAGGCCACTTCCTTCTTGCAGCCCTCCAGGCTGCACTGAGGCCAGAAGCACCCATGCCTTGTCCCTGCGGGGTCTCGTCCGCTGACCCTCACACCCTGTTGGGGAGAAAGCTACTGCGGTCTCTGGGGGCGGGGACTGGGTCCACACACCCACTGCAGGCCTCCTCCGCGGGAGCAGTCAGTATGTCAAAGACCCCCACGATGTCACCGATGTCACCAACGGGAAGGGACACTGCTCCTTCCCAAGCCCAGGACCCTGAGCAGCATTTCTAAACCATCTTCTTGTGGGGCTTGTTATGTGTAATTATTGGTTAGGTTTTTAAGGCAAGTGTTGGGGGCATTGAGCACACTCACCCACCGTGTTGTGCAACGACCTCTCTGGTTCTAGAACATTCTCTGTCCCCAAAGCACACCCACCACCAGTCACGCCCCCTCCCTCCCCCAGCCCCTGGCACACACCACATTCCTTGTCACACAGACTTTCCTGGCTGGACGCTTCTTATATACACAGGGCCGTGTGCCTCTGGCCCCGCTCACAGGGCACCATGTCCTCCAGGCTCATCAGGTACCAGCAGGGGTCAGCGCTTCACCCCTGCCCACAGCTGAGCACCGTTCCATGATCCCTGACAGGCACTTTGACATTCCACACACTGACACACTGCACGTGTCCCACACGACGGAGAAACCACGGGCAGGACAGGATAGGTTCAGGGTGTCCTCCTGGGGGTTCTGGGCAACCATACATCGCACCCTCCTAACATGGCATCACCTAGACGACACTGGCCAGGTACAGCTGAGGGGTGCACATGGGCCGCAGGCCCCAGGGGTAGAGACCAGGGAACCCTGAGACCTGCCCCCTCACCCCACTGTGGACGTCCCCGCACCCGGGTCCCCTCCCCCAACCCCACTGTGAATGTCCCCGCATCCGGGTCCCCTCCCCCAACCCCACTGTGGCTGTCCCCGCACCCGGGTCCCCTCCCCCAACCCCACTGTGGCCGTCCCCGCACCCGGGTCCCCCAACCCCACTGTGGACGTCCCCGCACCCGGGTCACCTCCCCCAACCCCACTGTGAACGTCCCCACACCCGGGTCCCCCAACCCCACTGTGGACGTCCCCGCAGCAGGGTCCCCTCCCCCAACCCCACTGTGGACGTCCCTGCACCAAGGTCCCTTCTCCCAACCCCACTGTGAATGTCCCCGCACCTGGGTCCCCTTCCCCAACGCCACTGTGGACGTCCCCCCACTCGGTCCCCTGCAACCCCACTGTGGACGTCCAGGCAGCCGGGTCCCCCTCCCCAACCCCACTGTGGACGTCTTCCCATTCGGGTCCTCCGCAACCCCACTGTGAATATCCCCGCACCCAGATCCCCTCCCCCAACCCCACTGTGAACGTCCCCGCACCTGGGTCCCCCCAGCCCCACTGTCAATATGCCCGCATCCGGGTCCCCTCCCCCAACCCCACTGTGGACGTCCCCGCATCCGGGTCCCCTCCCCCAACCCCACTGTGGCTGTCCCCGCACCCGGGTCCCCCAACCCCACTGTGAACGTCCCCACACCCGGGTCCCCCAACCCCACTGTGGACGTCCCTGCAGCAGGGTCCCCTCCCCCAACCCCACTGTGGATGTCCCTGCACCAAGGTCCCTTCTCCCAACCCCATTGTGAATGTCCCCGCACCTGGGTCCCCTTCCCCAACCCCACTGTGGACGTCCCCCCACTCGGTCCCCTGCAACCCCACTGTGGACGTCCCCGCAG